ACACACACACACACACACACACACACATATTTGTTGGCATTTTTGTAAACCCCCCTTCCCTTTGCGTTCCCTTATCATACAATGCAGCAAGGTGGAAAGATTGCTGGTAGAAGCAGTTCCGGGAGCAGGAAAGGAGACAATTGGCACTTGCTTCATGAATTTGCTGCTGGCATTGCTTGATCATCTTGATTCTTTCCTCATGTGTATCCCAACTTCAATAAATTGTCTAGCTGGCACGGATGTTCAGTGGGGGAGCTTTGTATTTTATTTTAATCTGGAACTTTCAACCAGTTGCTTTCTGTCGCTGAAAAGTGCATACAGTTTTATGTTCTAAACAAGGATGTTTCCCTTTTATCACGAAGTTTTATATAATGTTCCTAAAATACGGGGGAAGCTGAAATAGGTGTCAGGTCAGGGATTCTGATCCGTGAACATATCCCCAAGAGCCCTACAGAACTCTGTAGACCTCTATGGAAAAATCACAGCTGGCTAATCCAGTTAAGGGTTAATTCCAGAATGAAACCAAACGATCATTGATAATCATGGCAATATTATTAAGGTATAAGTCTTTCCTGAGTGTCAAGGTACTGTATAAATGTTTGCATTGTTGCGATGATTCCAGGAAACATCAGTTAGTTTAATTCTACAAGCTTTATTTCTCTCCATTGCTTCTATCATCTGTAAGCAAGAAATACTTAAAAAGAAACATGTTAGCATATATTGAAAATGTTATTACTGTTATGAGTACTTTAGGTACAAAGGTTTAAAATATATTGCCATCCAAAAAGTCTTATAACTATGAAAAATTGCAAAATAAGAAATAATCCAAAAATAAAATTTAAGCTGTAGGCAGAAATTAAATCAATTTATATTTGAATTAAAAAATAAAGGCACATTCAAAAAATGAGACTGCATCTTTAAAAATACTAAGGTTCTTAAAAGTGATAATATATAAAAGAAAATAAATGTTGTAGCCTCTAAGCATATTAAGAACACACGTGAAATAATTCTAAATGCCCACTCAACCAAACCAGTTTGAATATATGAGGAAAATCCACGATAAATGTTGTGGGTATCTGGTGTCTGTGGTGTAGTGTGAAGCATTGCTTTGTAAGAGTTGAATTCCTGAATGCTTGTGTGTGTTTCTTTATCTACCTATATTTATAAAGTCCTTCAGTTGGCTTCACCTCCCCCCATTCTGTAAAAAAAAAAAAAAATCCCTTTTCCAGGGGCCTGGAGATCCAGGGCTCTTGAGCTCCAAGAAATTTTTTGAAATGGGAATCTTAATACTTGTTGCACCTGATCTAGCATCAGAGTTTGGTAACTTAGTATCTGGCATGCTGTAACAATAGCAATAACATCATTGTTATGACTAAAAAATTTACAGAGCTTGGAGCAAGAAATGGTTATAGCATAAAAGATCTGGAATCCCCAGATCATGGAAAGCCAGAATATTTTGATTACAGAGAGTACAAACCAATAAGATCTGCAAACACCACCTCTATATTTACAAACAGTAACGCATGCATGTTCAGGTGTCAGGATGTAATGGCACCGTGATCTTGCTCTGCGGAAAAGCTAGCTAATTGTTTTGAAATAACTATAATACATTATTGTTCAAGCCTCAATTTTAAAAGCACTTTCATTTTCAGGGCTACTTATTCTATATTCCCTCTTATTTTATTTTTTAAAATCACTATATGTACAAAATTTCCAACCTTGACTTTGGAGTGTTTATTATTATACTTTGCTGAATCTTTTTTATTTCTGATCAGTCTTTGTGCACATTATCAGCTCAGTGAGCCAAAATTACATATGTATTTTTGTAATTTCTGCACTTTTTGCACATGCAGAACCAAGCCAGTTCACAATGTCAATTAAAAATGATACAGTAAAGACACAAATCAGCTATGTTAAAAGCAAGTGTCAAATTGAAAACATTTAAAAACCAGTTAAATGAGAAAAGATATAAGCCCCCCTGTGTTCCTCCATAGCCAATTATTGGCCAATGACCTCATTGAATAACAGTTTCTTTGCCTAGATATGGTGTATTTTCTTTGTAGTAATAACAGGCATACTTTCTTTGTGGTAATAACTTCAGGCAACTCCAACTTGCCTCTTTTCTAGCTGTATTTATCTACATTGCTTCTGATTTCCCTTTTTTGAAATAGCAAGTCTAAAATTCATTGAAGACAATCATACAATTGTGAGGAAAAGATGTAGGCACAAATACTTAAAATCCAAAAGTCTTAGTCATGTAAAACTATAGGTAAATACACTTAAACAAAGCTTCAATTGTAGTTGAAAGAAAAATCATATAGAATAAAGAAGCTTACAACTCCAAAAGATAGAAAATCCATCTCTAAAAACAATTAAAAATACAAAACAGTATTCACTGTTGTTTTTGTCTCTCAGATATTGCTTCTCACTCACTGATTAAAGTGTGAGAAACAATATCTATTTGAAGTTTTGTTTAGCTATTCTGCTATGAAGCAGCAGATACTCCCCACTTGTTAGTTGCAGTTGTTTACTCTCCCCACTTCCCAACATCCATGACAGCCAAGAAGTAAAAAATAAACAACACAAATAATACACCTGCCCAGAAGCAGTTAATTGCCTGTATTTATCCTTTAGATGTCAGTGTCTACTATTTTCTTATCTCCTGTGAATACATTTGATAGCAAAATGGTACTGGAGACTGCCAAATAATTGTTGTGATCTCAGTGATCTTACTCGCTGGACTGGTTCATTGTTTTAAAAACCCTGGTAGTAAACATTTTCATGCTGCATGTTTAAAAGTAATTTACTTTTAAGGGAAATTTAGGGTAATTTCTATACCCTCTTATAATTATTCTAACACCTTAAAACAGACAAGGTGTCATGTCTTACCTGCTACCACAGCTGTGTCATATTATGCTTTTCTCTATTTCCTATGGGTTTAGAATACTGTATCATTTAGAGTAAAATATAGTATTGTAGGGATCAAGTAATGGCTTGTGTGTGTTTTATGTGCTATCAAGTCAGAGCTGACTTACAGCAACCATAATAGAGCTTTCCAGGCAAGTAAGATATTTTAAGGAGTAAAATTTTGTCTGATTTTACAAATAAAACATTCATGTAGAATCCAGAGTAATGTGTGTTGTGGCATTAAATGTTATTTTTTAAACTCAATATACCAAACGTAAGGTAGACAGAGAAGTCTGATTTTATTTGAAAAGTTCTTTTAATTTCTGTTTCAAAATGAAGGAATTATTGGTAGGTGTAGTTTAGCATTTTTACTATTAGCATTTATTAGCATCTTCAGTGCCTACAGTCTTTTAGTGATACAGTGGTGCCTCGCATAACAAGCACACCGTTTAACGACGAATCCACATAGCGACACATTTTTTGTGATCGCATTGCGATGTTTAGATAGGCTAAACATCGCATTGCAATGATCGGTAAGCGTTTCGCTTATCGATCTTCGCATTGCGATGTTTAGAAAACAGCTGATCGGCAGTTCCAAACTGGCCACCAGATCAGCAAAATGGCCACCTGCAGCGTTTTCGCTCCCTGCCCTCGCTTACTGGGCAGCGAAAATGGCGGCCAGATGGGAGAATCTTCGCTTACCGGTGAGTTTTTCCCCCATAGGAACGCATTAAATGGAGTTTAATGCATTCCTATGGGGTTCCCTTCCCGCATAGCGACAAATCCGGATAGCGATGTTAATCCTGGAATGGATTAACGTCGCTATGCGGGGCACCACTGTAATGCAAAACAGCTTCGTAAGGAGCTTACAATCTAAATCGAGAATGGTGTATCTGGTTGAATGGTGTTCCTCCCCTTCTACCCACAACTTATTGTGCTTTATCAACAGCTGCCATCCTGTTCTTGGCTTCTTCAAAGTAAACCCTCCTGTGTTCAGTAGAGCTTATTCTGAGATACAGTACATTAGTATAGGCACACTGCCCAGGAGGTTAATCCAGTCTTCATAGACCCTGAATTAAAAATTGGGAGTTCAAGAAAGAAGAATGTGAAACCAATGTTTTCTCCCTGTCTTGTAGGAAGCAACATGTTGCAAAGTGAGGAAATAGAAATACAGTGCTTAAGACAGTTCTGGTAGCCAGTAGATGTTTAACAATAAAAGCAATTT